TTTTTTTTTTTTTTTTTTTTTTTTTTTTTTTTTTTTTTTTTTTTTTTTTTTTTTTTTTTTTTTTTTTTTTTTTTAATATAGTCTGGCGAAAAATTATTTTGAATACATTAAACTCAGTTATTCGTTGGCTTTGAAGCAGGACGTTGAGACGAAATGTTGGAAAAATGGTTTTTACACTTTGATTGAGGGATTTCGAAATGCAATTAATATAGATCGTTTGCAATCTCAGAATCATTCATCATCTTCCACTATTATTTTAAAGCAATTCGGAATCTTTTTAGATGAAGCGGAAACTTTTTATAAAAGGTTATTAAAGCAAATTGCTTTAGATATATCTCAAAACGGCAAACCCATTAATAATAACAAACCTCCTAAGTGGATACGTTGTGTTAATTGTTTAGGAGATATTAATAGATATCGTTGGGCATATGAACTAGAAAAAAATTCTAAAAACGATGCAAATAACGAAAATGATTCAAATGCAAAAAATAATGCAGATGAATCATTTTTTGGAGTAATGGACAATGAATTTGACCTAAATGCTTCAGAAGATAAAGAAATGAACAAAGATTTTTGGGCTAAAAATGCATCACGTTGGTATCGTTTAGGTATTCAACTTAATTCCAATAATGGTAAGGAAATATTTATGCTTTTATTTTGTAATTTTAATAATTTCTTTTCCATTAAAATAACTTGATATATTTTCTTATTCCTAGGTAAATTTTATCATCATTTGGGAATTCTTACAGGTTACAACGAATTTAAGTCACTCTATTATTTTTGTAGAAGGTATATATTTTGTAATGTATTTTACTCTTTATCAATTAATGTCATCACACTTAAAATGATAAAAACATATACTTCTCATTTTAAAGTCTCTCGGTAAACACTCCTTTCTTAGCTGCCCGTGAATCACTTATTGCATTATTTGAATCAAATAGAAAACGTTTTTCAAATCTTACGACAAATAAACATAAACAAAAGGGTCGTCGTGGTTATTTGTATAGAGAAAATTCTCAACCAAAATCGGTTGATGTTTTGACCAAATTACCAATTGAATGCTTGTTTTCCAGATTACATGGGATGCTTTTCACTAAAATTGGGCTTGAGAATTTTGAAAATATTCTTAAGATCTTTTTAGAAAAATTAAATAAATGGGAAAATCCTTGTTCAATAGATGACTCAAATGAAACTCGATGGCTAGAAACTTATTTGAAAATGGCAGTTATAAATCTTTCTAGCATGTATAATTACGGGAGTAAAGAAGGTTCTTCACATGGGCAAGTCACTTTATCCTGTGCAAATACTGACCCAGCATTTCCTGAAAAAACTAGACTTACATTTAGCATCATGGGTCAATTTATGTCTAAATATTTTGAAACTATAATTTTACAAGAGGGAGTTAATACTTCGGAAGGTTGGCTCTTGTATTGTGAAGTGGTAATGCTTTGGATGGTTTCTAGTGGAGCTTTTGATGGTTTTGGAAACGAAAACCATAAAAGTATTTGGGAAGCTGGAAGATTTATATTTCCAAACTTTTGGAAGATATTGGCAAAATTTCTCACAAAGGTAGCGCATCAAGTTTCTTCATTTACTAAAGAAGAGATTTTGAATTCTTGTAAAAACCAAAATCACGAAAAAATATCACTTAATCTTCTTCGTCCTCCGTTGAGCGAAGATTGGGAATTACGTGGCATTTCTTGGCTTCAACCACTATATGAAACATATCTATCTGATCTTGAAGTTAGACCTCACATTAAATTTGATGAATCCGAATCCGATAATACAATAAATATTATTTATGAAGAACGAAAATTGTGTTTAGATCAAAATGCGAAATCTCAAAGAAGGGCGCGGATTATGGAGTTAGGATACATTTTATCCAAGGTTGGCAATTCATTTAATTAATGTTGCTGTTGTTTTATAACACGTCTCATAATAATAGTAATAATAATTTTGTAGAAAATAAGTGGTTTTACTTTTAATGCCGAAGATACAAAATTTAGTGCTTGCCCAGAATTGGATGCAAAACTAGAAAATTCTCTAAATATGGAAAGCAATCTGTTACCAGTTATGTTCATCGCTGAAGAACAAAAGCCAACCAAAGAATCAAAACCAGTAAATATTGAAGATCAAGAAAATGAAATTAATGATTATGCAGAAGATGATGATGAAGGGATCAAAGAATTGAAGGTATTAATCAAGTTATAATTTTTTTTTCTTGAAATTGTTTTTATTAAATTATTTTTTTTTATTAATTTTTAAAATTAAGTCTCGTCGTCAAGAGTTAGAGAATCTTTTGGCCGCAACTCGCAATAATATTTATAGTTCTTCGGCACACAAGCATCCAGTGAATGATGCCAAAAAAAAGGAATCATCAAAAAAGACAAAATCTCCATTACTCAGAATTGTTCCTGGGTATACTATACTTGTAGTTGATACAAATTGTCTTGTAGGAGATCTTAATATGGTAAAGAAGATCATATATAATGACAGTTGGGTAGTTGTCATACCTTTGGTTGGTAAGTATCTTTCCATTTGATATTAATCCGGATTTTTAATTGTTATAAAAAATTATTTATTAATCTATTGTCTTATTAAAGTTGTCACGGAATTGGATGGTTTAAGATTTAATTCACCACCTCTTGGTACAGCAGCATCTGATGCAATTGCATTTCTTGAACAAGCAATGTCAAACAAAAAGAAACTTAAAATTCAGACGAGTAGGGGAAATTATGTATCTGGAATTAATTTTAGTGAAGAATTTGATTTTGGTGATGGCGAAGATAAAAAGAAAAATCTAGACGACCTTATTCTAGGAATTTGTTTATGGCATGCAAAGAATCAAGAAGAAAATGGTTCTTATAGTAAAACATCTAAAGAAAAAATTAATAACGAAAAAGAAGCTGTCGTATTACTCACTAACGATCGAAATCTTCGGATCAAAGCACGCGCTAGAGGAATTGATGTTATAGGAGCACAGGATCTTGCAGGATTGATATGAAGAAACAAGCAAAGGCAATATTTGTCATAATTACTCAGGAAAGTTGTTTGCATCATGTTATTATGTTTGGTTTGGCTTTTTTCGAGACATAACTTCCGAAACATGTGGCATTAAGATTTTGTCACATAGGTAAGTAAATTATTTTGTCAAACATTAAACAATTTTATATTCATAATTGATTAATTTTTCCTTTTTAAACTAGCGGCTTACTTCTATAGACGATGCCGCTTGAAATTTCTAATTTCTTTGATTTTTATAGCATGTACTAGGATGACGATCAATAACAATACACAATTGTATATATTGCGTGTTCCCGTCGTCACTTTTATAATCAAAGAAACGTTGTCTCTCGTTAATAAAAGCGAAACATCGTTTTTTGTTTTAAATTGACTGAAAAGATATTGAATTACAAAATAGACCTATTACACTATTATTCGTAGGATGTATTCTATTATAAGCGCAGAAATATTAACATGTAAATTTATGTGATACAATATCTTGTGATTATTCGAAAAAATAAAACTTTATAAATAACATGACCAAAATGTCAATCTATTTTTTTTTTCTATATTAAATCCTTTTACAATTTTTTCATAAAAATTTTTATAAAAGATTACGAAAAAATAAAATAAAAATTCAAAACTATCAAAATTATAATGTTAAAAAAGTAGATATTATATCAACTTTGGCGACCCAGGCATGGAACGAACAGGAAAATCCGGCCGTATATTATCTTTTCATAGAACTAGCAGATCTAGACAAAAAACGTTTATTATATTCAAATCCAGAAATTTCCGTAGAAAATTTTTATATGAACGATTTGATGATTTTCCCTAATATTGAAATTGTCGAAAATCAAAATACTGACAATACCGGAATTGCTCTGGAAGAAGTCATGTATATAATAATTATTATCAATCAACATCATATTCTGTTCCTTATGACGAAAATTTTTCTTCTCCACCGTCAATGGTCATAGAAAATTTCGAAAATTTTCAAAAAGAAAACATAAACTACCATCAACAATATCAACAATGGACAAAAATTAAGGAAAAAATGATCAAGATAGCTGAAACAATTGAATTATTTTTAACGAAATTATTTAGGATTGTTTAAATCAATATTTTTGTCGAATTTCTTGAAAGTTCAAAGTGTGGACGACCTCTGATATCCCACAAACTACAACCATTCCAATAGCACAAATAATGTAGATAATTACATAGTTTTGAAAAGTATTATAATAACTTGATATACACTTATATTAAATAGTATTAGTATTTCCAAATGTTCTTTCTCTAGTTAAACTTTCATTAACGTAAAATAATCATAATCTATACTAGCAAATTGACTTTAACCAGAATTTCGGAAAAATGGAAATTATATAATTAAAATGTTGAGAAATATAATCGAAAAAGAATATCATTATTTAGATAAAGAAAAATTACAATATTTAAGTATATTAATATCTCTCCGACTTTATTACTTATTTTTTTTTTGTAGTATTATTTAAAATTTCTGTGGTTTCCGAACAGTAATTTCTTGAAGTTGTACACAATAAAATAAAATATTGTGAACTTTGGAAAGACTTTATAATTAAAGCGAACTTGAATCACAGTATTGTAGTAACCTGCATTATAACTTCATATTAAATAAATAAGTTTCAGATTTTTATATAGGATAAAGAAATAATTATTAGATAATAAAGTAAATATGCATAAAACTTTGAATATTCAATATGATAATATGAATAATTTGATTTATTAAAAATACGCGGAAAAGGTAAATACAGATTCAACTTTAAGGCTGGGACAATGTTATAGATAATATGAATAAAAAGAATTTATTTGCATTATTAAGTGTAAAAATTAATAATACATTTCATCAGATTCTGTGTTAAAATAATGTCTCGACTTTTCTATAGCCTTAAAATAATTTACGTTCCAGTGATCAATAAATGGTTTAAGCGTGATTCATATTGACGAAATCGATTAAGTAAATATCTTGGTGGTAATCTAGGCGCAATGTCATCATCATTGATGATTCTCCAAAGGGTTCTGTGTTCGTTCGTTTTTAAGTTTAAAATGCCATGAAATGAAGATGCAAAAATCAAGGTCACCCAAAGCTGGTGATGCAAAAACAACGGCATCACGGACAATGATTTTTTTTTTCAAGAGAACTTTGGATCTTAATTAATCTTGGAATAAACGGAGATGAGTATAAAAGATATTTCACAACATAAAACATTTAAATTATTAAAAAATTGCATAAAATGTTTGAGCTAAAGCACCACCAAGCGAATGACCAGTAACCCAAATATTTACAGGTATAGGGTTGTTCCATTTTTCGACTTTCTTAAGTATGACCTCAACTAAACTATTGGCAGTGCATCTCTTTAAAGGATCATCGTAATCAGTAAATAAACTATAATAAAATCCTTTATGCATCATCCCATAGACGAATGATTGCATCAACCCGATTAAAAAGAAAATCAGTTATAAAATCACTGATAACTGGTGGTGAAGAGCCTTTAAATGCCACAACGATAAAATTTTTTTCTTTGGACCAAAATAGTCCAGCAAATATATTTTCAGTTGATTTTAATTCACCGAAAGAGTGAAATTTTATTCCCCAAGAACGAATTATTTCATCAATTCTCTTTTTTGCGTCCTTTCGGCGTTTTTTTATTGTTGACTTCGTCGTATCTCTCATTTTATTGTAATTCGGGTTTCCACGATAATATACAACGGAGCTGAAAAACAATAGGGTCTCGACCAAGTCAACATTGAAAGGAATAGGTTGAGGCGGATTTAGAACTGGAGATTTCAATACGATCATACTGTTTTCTGTTAATCAAAAATTATTCGGATTTTAATTCACTACCCATAATCCAAAAATGGATAAAACTTTAAAGAATCATACTTAATTTGTCACCATTATAGCCACCCCATTCATTATTGTCGTAATAATTGATATTATCAAGCAAACCAAAATAATTAATTCCTCAACCCAAAACTCATAATCAAAATGACAGGAATAGCAGCAGGATAAAAAATACACGTGAAAAAAAAATTAATTGGTCGAGTAATTGGCATTGTCCAGTTTGTTAAAAATGTATAGAAAAGGTGAACAAATATTTCACACACAATTTCTCAATTTTTAAATTTTAAAACCGAATTTTTTAATATATTTTTTATTTTTATTGTGTTAGATTACAACTTGAACTCTTTTTGATATACTTTCTACTAAATTTTTAAAATTTTCAAGTTTAATTTCATTTCATTAATTCATGGGGATTTTTTGAATGGGATTATTTTTCTTTCTAAATAAATGCTCAATTAGATTGAAATCTGGGACAAGGAATATTTATTATCAAATAATGAATTGGGGCATTATCATCTTGAAAAATATATTCCAAATTATCTTTCAGTTCATTAATAAATGGTAAAGATTGTTTTCCAAAACTTTAATATATTCAGAAACTGTAATTCTACCAAGGTTCCAATTCAATTTTTCATAAAACATCCACACTCTGATTTTCTAATTTTACTGTTGGAATTATCATTCCAAATTATTGTATTCCAATCAGATACCAAAGATTTTTTCTGTACAACCATAAAAGCCTTTATAGTGTTGAGGCGGCACGAAAATAGCCGGAGTCACGGGGGATGATAGAGGATGATATGTGTCACTATTTGGATGAATTATCCTTGTGTGTCATCCATCATCCAGGATAAC